GGGCCTGGTGGCGTCCTCACCATTTGAGTCTCTGACTCCATTTTCAGTTAAGTACTTCCAATAAACTTCTGCTAAGCATCCTCCAACATTTCTGCTTAAAGTTGTTATTTCCTGAAGATCTATTCTCGCTTTTTGCCCCCTTTTTATTAAAACAATACAGTAAATCACTTTCTCTAAGTAACTGACATGACTAGTGCTAAAATGCCAGGAGGAGAAACTTGGGATTCAAATAGGCTTTTGTTTTGACAGTTTGCTTTGGAGGGTGGGGTATTGATTTCTTCAAAGAAAATATTGCCCCAGGAGTCCAAATTGGATGGGTTGCTAGACCTGCATTTCACAGTCCTTCTCTAGCCCATCCCTAGCATGCTTAAAATTCTCAACAGCAATTGTGTTAACAGATTTCTCTGAAGAACTCTTTTCTCAGAGTGCTCTAAGACAGTATGAAGGGGCCTGAACAGGCACAAAGTAGAGCATTTGCAGGAACCCATATCTCTGTAAACTTAGAGATAGAGTGTTTTACACCCCAATTCTCTTGTCCTCCTGGGGTCTCAGGAGCTGATGGACTCGTAAGTCCATCTGACACAGTATCTTTGAGATATCACTAGGCCATCCTTCTCCTAAATGCTTCTTCCTTGTTATTGAATCACTTCTTCCCCCTCCTGCAAAGTATTGTGACATTTCTGAAGAGAAAAGGGAGATTTACCAGCTGTCCTGGATTCAAATTTCACTCCCACTTTCAAATTTCTAATATAAAAGCCTTTAGATGTAAAGAAAAAAATAGAAAAGAAAAAAAGCTTTTGTGGCATTCTTGGACTCAGCATAAACTATACCAACGAATACCGCTGGCATGAAGTTTGAATCGCAAATAATGAAAAGGTTACGTACTATTCCTCATTCCTGTTCCTAGTCACTCTGCCACTCTTTCTTACAGTTGCTTATCTGTTCCACACCGAGCAATTTCAGGGGGTTAAAAGCAGAAAGACTGCTTTGAAGGTTTTTTTTGCTGTTTTTTTTTTTTTTTTAAATTTTATTTTGGGACAAAAATTAACTGTCCATCTGAAGAAGGAAGAAATCCACAAAAGGATTTAAACCACAAGTAGGAATTTTACCAGTTTTGCAACATAACCTCCAATGAAAATAGAAATACAATCTCTCTATGACTCCTAGGATTATGAACAAGTATAGAAGCATGCAGTGCATACAGCCTAGCTAAAAAATGTACATGGGTTTTGTTTTGTTTTTTTTTTGTTTTGTTTTGTTTTTTTTTTTTTTAAATTGACATGGTCTCAGGAAATATCCTCAGGAAAAAAAAAAAGTATACAATATTCAGAGTTTAAACTATTTCTTCTCTTGCCCATTTTTAGCTCCTGAGCTGAATATTCCTTTCCTTCTACTTGTTTCCGAAGTTGTTTTCTGATCTCCCTCCTGCTTCTTTGGTTTTGGTTTGTTGTTTGGTTTGGGTTTTTTTCCTGTATCAGGCTTCCCTGCTACTGTTTGTGTCTTCTACATGTCTGTTTATTCAAAAGTTATTTTCAAGATGTGACCTCTTAAAGACATAGAAAGGAGAAGAACACATGATAAAATGAACATAGAAAGCATGTGCAGGGCTGGAGAATGTGCATGTGCCTTTAATCTTAAATCAGAACTTTATTCTGCAAGTGTGTTGTTTAAAAATGTTGCATTTTTTATCAGTGCCCTAGTCTGTAACTATATATACACGTGTGTATTTGTTTGAGGTTTTTTTTCCATTGATATTGCTCTCTTCATCTGGAGAACTGAGGTGCCAGAAAGTAGTCTCCTGAAGCCCACTGGGAGGGTTCTCAGCTGTACCTCATGTACCTTCTTCATTTAGATAAGATGTTTTTCTGGCTTAGCTTTACACATGTAAGTAGTTTATTGGCCTTATCCTATAAGGATACTCACTTGAAGTGATAAGAGAGCCTATCAATAGAGGAAATAAAGATCATTAGCCAAAGTGGAACACTGTGTACCTTAGAATGAAGAGTTGGGACATCTCAAATGAAGAAGGTCAAATCCATTATAGTATGTAAAACAGTATACTGACATGCATTGGAAGTTTCATAGTAGACACAGACATGTTAACTTATTTCATATAGTGTATGAAAGCAAACTGTACAAAGACTCATCCAGTTTCATTTGCAGCAATACTTAGACTTGCTCAAGAGATGCGAGTATTCTTCACACACACAAAAATAAAAAAGCAGCTTTGTTCCCACAAACCCCAAAACATTAGGCACTTCTTCATGTATTTGTGATGCTTCTGAGATTTTACATACAATAGTTCATATTGCTGAATGCCTTGTCATCACCACTTTACATTCTGAATTTACACATGAATATTAAGTCCCAAAAAATCCACAAGAATCTTCTATTATATGCATGTTTCTACAAGCCATATACATCATAAACTGAAACTTAAAAAAAAAACCACAACAGCAACAACAACAAAAAACAGACAAAACAACCCCAAACCAAATGAGAAACAAACAACAAAACCAAACCAACCAACCAACCTGAACAAAACCCCCACAAAACCCTAAAGTTATTCTAATGCAGAAGAAGACAAAATATTCTCACACACCTTTCATCCCCAGCTACCAATTGCAATTCCTAGAACACCCTTTGCTGACGCATTACCCTATCATCCACCAGTAAAATAGCTCTCCCAGTCTGCAGCCATGGAGAAGCAAGTTGTCATGGATAGGAACACTGTCTCCCCAGCAAAAGACACACCAGCATTTTGACTCTACCTTTGGCCTCCTTTAGGTAGTAAAGCAAGAGATATAATGGCAGATGTTCTAGATTTTCTTCCTCAGTTCTTTTCTGACTGATTTTTTACTGTATAAAATATCCTTGAACTGGCACAGGATTTTTGCCATTCAAAATCTGATAGATTTCTGATCTACTTTCCAGAACCACAGACATACCAAGGCAGATAGAAGCTGACAAACTGGGTTCCCCCCCTCCCCTTCCCCCTCTCATTGATTTATATGAACACCTTCATGCTTTCTTCATTAATAAGCTGATAAACAGTGAGTATATATTTCTGCTTTTCTGTATTTTATTTCTGACCAGTGGGGAAAGCAGGAGCATTCATTGTTTCTAAGTGGAATACAGCAGTTGTCCGTTGCTTCTTCAGAGACAATGTCCAGAGTAGTATAAGACTGCAATTACAAATGTGAAGAGAGAAAAGAACAAAGCTTGACATCTTTGGGGAAGAAAAATGATGGAGTTGATAGATACTATCTACTAGTGTAAGTGACACGCTCTGTGCAGCTGTGAAAGAAGTGCAGAACCAGCAACATTCAGCTCCTAAACTCCAAGGGCAATAACTGTTTTATCAAGAGTTTATGATGAGGACTTCACAGTAGATTGGCTCATCTTAATCCAAGCTAATCTTAATCCAGGCCATTTAAATTTAAGTATACGACAATCTAACTGTCCTGATAGCTTCACAGGGTTTCTAAGACAGCACTGATATGATTGTGCAGCAATAATGTTACTCTATACAACTGTGGCACATGTACAAAATAGCAAAGCCTTAATAACACAAAGGGCAAATACTTCTTTAGAAGAGTATTTCAAGAAGTAGATTCAAATAAGACACCTGTATATTAATTTAGTTAGCACAATTTTGTAGAGACTCAGTGTTGTCACTGTTCTTTCCTGCATGTGGTTTCCCCAGCTTTCTACTTGATATAACCCTCCAATAGAAGTCAGTTAAGACAAAACTATGTTTTTATGTAATCGAGGTAATGCAGCAACCATCTGAATACAAACTATTTGAAAGATGTAGTCCAACATTAATACAGATATTTATTTATATATCTATGGTTAAGCAAGTGAAACCCAAGATGCAAGTATCACTGAAATATGCTTGAGAGTATCACTTCTACATAACTTCCTCCTTTTTAAAAAAAATATTTTATTTAGAGATAGCATTTTTCACCTAAGCTTTTCTGTGTTTATCCTCTAGACAGAACATACCTAAGCACACTTTTTTAGATCTTCCATTCTCTCTGTGACAGGAAAAATCCATGGAATGTGATTCTGGTATCCCAAATGAGTATTAATGGTACAAGTACAGAAAAGTATTATTAGGATTTTTAGCTGATCATACCTTCTGAGTTGAGACTGATTTTAGAGGTGATTTATTAAAAATTGAAAATGACAGTTTGAGTGTCAGCAAAACTGGAGGTCTGTTTTTAGATCCAAATGTAAATGGACTGAAAACTATAGCATCAAGATAATAAATACATTCCAATTAAACAGTGACTCTTATAACTCAGCAGCATTATTAATAATTGATTTTAGAAAAGCTACACAGATCAGAACATAACAGTTAGAGCATTCATATAAATGCATTTACATTACACTGAAGTTGGACTAAGTCCCTGTTTTTCACTGATTCCAATTTCTTGAAGAAAATTCTGTGTGCTCTAAAGCTTGTATTTTTTCAGCTGCATCAGAAGGTCTAATAATACACATCACCTTTCTCTGTAAGCCACACTCTTACAGTAGTTCAGCAATGTGCTGCAAGTGGAGAAGACTAAGTTCATATGTGTAGTTCACAGGGTCCATTTTTGATAGTGCTAGCTAATATAGCAACCAGTCATAATCAAGACATTAGTATATCATAAATTGGAATAAGCATTGTATAAGCAATAATTTCTGTTTCATTGCTGTCCGAAGTTTTCCCCAGGAGCAACAGTAATGCAAGGTTTCAAGGAGTCAGGTATGGAAGCCACAACCACAGTCCTGGGCACTGAAAACGAACTAAGTAACCCATTGGGACAGAAGATGATCACACTGCTGAGCACTGTATAGGGCAATATTATGAAATCAGGACAGAGTACAGTGAACCCCCTGAAAATGGGTCAGTGGACTTATAATAAGCTTTCTTCATTTACGTTGGGCGGGAGAAGGGAAAGGGGGAAGGGAAAGGGAAAGAACATGCACTAATATATAACTCTACTCACCGATTTTGGCCAGGCTGGCCACGAGTATCCAGAGTGTAATGACATAAGGGTCCTTGACGTGATCCCATTTGAAAGAGACAATGGCAAAGCTTTGAGACTGGTTGCTATTTATAGGGCTTCCCGAGCTTTTCTGTCCCAGCGCCACTGGGAGAGCCATCAGCCCCAGGAGGAACCCCACTCCAGATAGCTGCCTCATCTCCAAGCCACACAACAAAATCCTGCTTCCCCTTCCCTGAGAAATCCCGCCTCTTCGGAGGTCCTTGAGGGCGAGGTCCTTGCCCCTTCGCAGAGACGCGACCGAAGACTGTGGACCGCGGGACACGGGCGCAGGAAGGCAGAGAGGGTCCTATCCCGCCACCGTCGGCACGGCCGCACCGGCTGGCTCAGGTGCTGCTTTGCATGGGGTGGCCAAGGACGGGTCAGGGTCTCTCTGCATAGGCAGATGCTTCTAGCTAGGGTCCTGCTGCTTGCCCGCACCTGCCTTTATCAGGCTGTTCCCGAACGGCCGGAGGCGGAGCTTTCCTGCCGCTCCCGCGGAGCCTGCAGCGCGAAGACAGCGATGTCCTGACTGAGCACCGCTCGGGATCAGCAGGGTTGCTCCGTTCTGCTGAGGGGCTGACAGCAGGCTGTGGGCTGTATCTACCGTGTCGGCTCGGCTGCGGGCACATGGGGGTTGGAAAGAAGTGGCTTTGAGCTTTCGGTGCTCGAGAGCCAAAGCAGAGGTGCCCCAGCGGGCACGGCCAGCGTGGACCCGGCGGTACGTGCTTAGATTGGAGCCAGATGAGCAGATCCACAAGTCTCCGTTTGAGCGCTTTGAACGCGCAGCCCAGTGGGTCAGCCTTCTTCTCTCAGATCCACTGTCCTAGCCGGTTAGCACGAAGAAAACGCACTCTTTTCTGCTTTTCAGCTTCAAATCACTTTAGGATCTAGTACACCGAAGAAATAGCAGATTTCGCAAGCCAGCTTTTTCTTCTGTCCGCCAGAGAGCACCTCTTCCCACGGTGCTCAGGGAAATGACACCATGAGGCAAGGTTTAGCTTTCCACTAAGATTTTCTTGCAGCTGTTTGTTAAGATGTGCTATATTAAAAACACTACCTGGCTTCTTTTTACTGTTTACAGCGTGAAAGCTTTTGGAAGATTCTTACTTACCTCCTGAAGCCTTTTTTCGTGCTAATAACATTTACCTGTTACACTGGATGGTCTATGTTGTGTACTGTAGGCAGGTGGACCCATGCTAATCACGGTGCTGTAAAAAGGCAGGCAGCATGTTCCCAGTAAACCGACCTCAGTGCACCTTTACACACACCACAGTTAGCAGCAACTTCTATCTTCTGTTGTGTGCTCTGAAGCAATCCAGCTGGCCGCATGTGCAGTCCATTGTTTCTGTAACTTTCTGGGGAAAAATCCCACCTTTTTATATAACTCACATGATAGCTCTATCAAAAGTTCAAAATCTTTAAAGCTCTCCCTTAAAACATTTGGAAAATTATGAAATGATTTTGACTATTTCAATCACCTGGGAGAACAGCTCAATACTTTTTCAAAGTTTAAGTGACCTGCACAGACACTCTATAAATCAATTAACTGGTTAATAAAAACAATGAATTTACAAGAAATATCGTTGTTACAAAGGGTGTCTATCATTATCATGTAATAATCTTATTTAGCTAAGGAACTCAAGGAGCAAAGTTCTCTTGGGTTAATGCACTAAAGATTCAGTTATCATCACCTCAAAGCAAGTTCAGGCCTTGTGCTGGACAATCAAACAGGTTTTTAATTTTTTTTCCCTTCCCGTACTTCCTCATTACTCAAGGGCAAAGAAATTATGCAGGAATTTTTAAACTAGGAGCTAATTTGAAGATGGAATTTGCAAAACTTTAGGAAGCATGATAGTAAAATATTTTCTTTGGTACCATTTCATATGGTAAATGTTGTGGACAAAAACTTGAAGAATATTTCAGTGTCTAAGAACCGAAATCCTATCTATATTCTTTTTATCTTTTTTTTTGGAAGTAAGTACCTGCTGCTCATCTCTGTAACCTGTTGCTGAGCTCTTTGGATAGTAGTAGCTTCTAGCTGCTAATGTTCCATTTGCTGATATTAGGAGAACAATCAGCTTTAATAGAGACAGTCAGTACTAGTTTTATCACAACTTATCACAACCTTTTTTCACAACTTATTCCATGTACCATCACATCACAATTAAATATTTCAGGTGCAGCTGATAAAAGGGTGCTACAGTGTCCCATGTTATATATGTGCTTCTTCTCAAATCTAATTCCACAGAATGATGACTGGGTTAGAAATAAACCTTACTATTGATAGTGTTGAAGGGAACCATGCTGTTAAGACAAACATATCCTAGATCAAGAATGCATGCAGCTGCGCTAGAAAAATGAGAAAGCCTTCTCCAGTGGATCTTTTCTCAGATAAGCAAAGGCTTACACTTCACTTGAAGGATCTGCAACCAAGATCATGCCTCTGATTACCTTTAGGTAGTGTTCTACTCATGACAATGGTGACATCAGCAACCAAGTTACATGACAATTCTGAATTTGGTGGTGGAGATAAACCCATATTAGCAAACAAAAAATGTGGGAAGTACCATCTTAGCACAGAAAAGATAATGTAAATATGCTCCTCAGTTGAAAGCATAATGACTAGCAACCTATCTTAAAGGAATGTGAGAATTTTAGAATTTGTAAGGATTTTTTAAGACCTTGGTGCAAACTGATACAAAAGTACATAATCTTGCTTGTCAAAAAAATCTTCTCAAAAAAATGCTTACAACGTTGCTAAAATGCCAACACTGTGTTTTTGTTTAACAGTAACAAGTTAATGGTTCAAGCTGTATCTGTGACATTTGTCCTATCTTCTGACTGCTGATGAATTTTTTAAAGTAGGCTGGATATCAAATGACAGTACATATCAGGGAATTCTTGTGCAATTCTTTAGTGTGTTAGCATGACACAGAGAGGACAGAGGAAGGAACTGGCACTCAAAAATCTCCTGTAGGTACATGAATACATGCTAAACCAGCAGGCCGCTGAATATGTGAGAACTTATGTACAGATCATTTTGTTGTACAGTAATAAATTTGAGTTTATGTATTTATTAATAGATTCCATTTTCTTCAAGGTTCTTTGTGGAATTCCTTATGTAGTTTCCTATGACCTCATTCTGTATCAGTAGCAGAAGCATTATCTTGAGTTCTAAGTTTGCAATAAAGATACCATATCACACAACAGCTGGTATTTCCCGACTCTTCATAAAGATCACACAAGGAAGATGCTTTGTGTCCTGAGTGTTTACGTTTTGTATGGGTTTGGTTTTTTGTTTGTTGGTTGTTTTGTTTTTTGTTTTTTTTTTTTACTGGAAAAAAATCAAGCATTGTAATTTCTGGAAATGTTGTGTAAATAGTTGTTTAGAGAAGAGAATTAGTAGTATCTAACACACCCTTCACATGATCTGTTTCCTGTAAGGATTACTCCTTGGGAATTTTTTAAAATCTCAGATAAAAGACAATTTCAGTTTAAAAAAAAACCCTAATAGATAAAATGAACTCTTCAAAATTATATTAGTGTTCTCTGGAAAGCACACACAGTACTTCAGTTGTACTAACTTAGAGGTAGAAATACAATTAACTTTCAATATTGGCATTTACAAGAAATCTGTTCAAGCTGAGGTGAAAGTAAGAAGGGCATTCCTGTGGAGTTCAGAACTTTCATAAAGAAAATAAATAAATCTAAGTAGTGAAGAAATGGCAAATGTACTGTGAAAAAACTCCTGATGTAACATAAACCATCATGAATCACTTATTGTCATTCCTGTCTGTCCTCGGGAAATGCACTCTTTTTATATTCATGTCTATTAAGTGCATAAGCAGGTTAAGGTAAGATTTTGAAAGTATTATAGTTTCAGCATTTATTTTCATGCCATAATTCCAACTCTATGCACAGTTACATAGAACAATAATTGTTGTGAAAGGCATTGTACCAATATAACTGTTTGATTTGGTGAAAATTAATGTGTTTGATATGCAGATGGATGCAGAAACATATGAATTTATAGCTAATTGAGTTGATTCAACAGCTGACATTTTGCCAATGTTTCTACCAGTGAAATCAGTGCAGTTTTTAAAGTTTATGCTGCAAGGAGTAGGGCAAATATTGATGGACTGAGTAATGTAGCAGAGCATTATATTACAGCTTGATGAACATGAACCTCTGAAATTGTTGAGAAGCAATGTATTAAATTGATGTAATTAATTAATTCAGGTTAAACAAGGCAAAGTGCCAGGTCCTGCATTTGGGCCACAACAACCCCATGTGAAGCTCCGGGCTTGGGGAAGAGTGGCTAGAAAGTTACTCAGCAGAATAGGACCTGGGGGTGCTGATTGACGGCTGAACATGAGCGTGCTTTTGCTCAGGCAGCCAAGAAGGCCAACAGCATCCTGGCTTTCAACAGAAGTAGTGTGGTCAGCAGGGCCAGGGGAGTGATCATCCCCCTGTACTCGTTGCTGGTGAGGCCACATCATGAATACTGTGTTCAGTTCTGGGACCCTCACTACAAGACATTATAAAGACACCTCACTTCAAAGACATTAAGGTTCTGGAGCAGGTCCAGAAAAGGGCAATAAAGCTGGTGAAGGGTCCGAGGAATGAGTCTTATGAGGAATGGGTGAGGGAATTAGGCTTGTTTAGTTTGGAGAAGAAAAGGCTCAGGGAGGACCTTATTGCTCTCTACAGCTACTGAAAGGAGGTTGTAGTGAGGTGAGGGTCGGTCTGTTCTTCCAAATAACAAGCAATAGGACAAGAAGTAATGGCCTCAAGTTGCACTAGGGGAGATTTAGATTGGCTATTAGGAAAAAAATTCTTCACAGAGAGTGGGATCAGGCATCGGAACAGGCTGCCCAGGGAAGTTGTGGAGTCCTGCTCCCTGCAAGTGTTCAGAAAACCTGTAGGTGAAGCCCTCAGTGACACGGTTTAGTGGTGGTCTTGGCAGTCCTGGGGTAATGGTTGGACTTAATGATCTTAAAGGTCTTTTCCAACCTAGTTGATTCTATGACTCTTATTCAGCTCACACGCATTACTACCAGTTTAAGTGAACAAAATGAAGACCAGGGTGAGGACAAATGAATCAGAGAGGTAGGTGAAAATGGATTTGGCTGGGAAGTAGGTGGCAGAGGAAATTAGCTGTATTTTTCATTATTCATTTCAATACGTATCTGAATATAAGGAGAATAAGTAGAGAGGTTTTTTAATTTTTGGTCTCACATCTTTTTGAAAATCGCAGACATCTCATGTTGTGAGATTTTTCTGTTTTGTTGTTTTTTCTACTATAATTTTAAATGACACCCCCCCGTTTATATTAGATTAGCAACTAATCTTGTAGGAGTGGGAGGGTACAAGTGACAAACATTAGCCCCACCTAATATGTCAGTTGAGGATGACCCCCTCCATATGGGATTATATCAGTGAACTCTCAATGTAATGAGCAGTAAAAAGGGAATGGGACAGAGAAAGTTCTTAGATAGCACCAGATACCTAGTACATTTTATCATATTCTGTTCAGAAAACAATGAACTTCTGTAAAATGCCATGTGTATGAAAAGTCCTCCTTCTTTAAATTCCAATTTTAATCAAAAGTCTTCTACTCTGTATTAGGACTCCTCTGGGCTTGCTACTAGACAAAGATGACCTCAGAGATTTTAATCTGTGATAGCCTACATCTTCCATGACTTTCCCTCTGGGTGT